GTGGAACCCTTAATTAGATAATGACTAAAGTTATACGTGTGACTAGTTGTACTTTCGTTGATGTACTATGTATATTACATGTAATCATATATTACTTAATAAAAAATGACATGCGGACAAAATTGCCACTTTAAATAAAAAAAAAATAACTAAATTTAAACAATAAATTATCTATAATGTAATAGATAATCTTGTAAAAGATGCAATCAAAAACTAGCATAGATAACAAATTACTGAAGTGAATATATATACTTTAATTAATAAATTACAAATGTTTATAACAATAATGTCAAAGCAATAGTTACAATGTTAATAATTAATAGGCTTTAATTTAGTACAGTTGCAATTGTACTTTTTCAGGCCGTTAATATAAATATAAATGCATAAATGTTTATTCAGAAGTACACAAGAAAAACTGAATCAAACTAAATTAAATCTAATACTTAATGCACTAGTGTAATCGATACACTGCAATCATTTCTAACTCCCTTTAAGCAACTCAAGTGCCTAGTTTCGAGGATAAAATTTTTATTTTTTCAAGAAGGGCATGCCTTTTAGATTAAAGTCATGCCCTTGTGTATGCCTCCAAATCTTGTGCCCCCCACCATAATCATCCCTAACATTTAATTATTCATCGGTAATATTGACACACTCGACTTTCTCACTTATTTCCATAATTTCTTTCGTGTTAATAATTTTACTCATATACATATTATTCGGATGAATCAATGATTTGATATCCGGTTTAATCTGATCCGCTTCTAAAAATTGCCTCTTAATCTCATTATCTTTATCCAATTCCATCTGATCGAGCCAATATCCAACATAGTGACAGATTTTTGTCGCGGTCGGCCGCTTGTTCGGATTAGCATTTGTGCATCTTTCCACTAATTCTATGTAACATACCGGTGTTCCTTCGCTAAATTTTGGTCGTTCACCTTTACAAATCCTAACTGCAAGCTTAACACTAAATTCTTCACCATCAAACGCCCGTTTTCCAGTCGCAATCTCGGTCATGATGATTCCAAGACCGTAAACATCTGCAGCTTGTGTGAATGGTTTCTGCTGTAAGACTTCTGGTGCTACATATGGCATAACACCTGTAACCTCACTCTGTTTTTTTTCAGTCAGGTCCATCAGCCCTAAATCAGTAATGTATGCACTGTGAAAATTATCTTGCAAAATATTGCCTGAATGCAAATCTTGATGAACCAATTCATGAGAATGAATTGCTTCAAGATCCGAAGCAATACAATATAATACATTCAATTTATCTTTCCACTTTAAATGAGACACAACTTTAAGATTTTGACGTAATGAACCTTCTCTAGCGTATTTTAACACAATGATATAATCTTTAGTTGTAATATCTCTTGATACTCCATAGCATTCTAAAAATGATGGATTCTCATAACCAATTTCACAATAATGTTTCAATTCATGAACAAAATTTTTTACGTCATCACTAGAATC